TGCCGCATGGTCCGCGGCCGTTTTTCCACCCGACGCGTGGTCCGCGGACGCCAGAACGGATTAACGGTAATTACATTGAACCTTATGGGAAAATTTGCTAGGGGTTGGGACCAAATCGGGTTGCGACCAGAGTCACGGAACGAATTAAGATCATAACCCAAGGTACCACTGTATACTGTGCAGTATGTAAATCTGGGATATAATTTGCAGTGGAAAACAAGTGAAGGGGATGTACTGACTGTCCCTTCTAGCTCCTTTTCCTCAATATATTTTCCATACCTATATCTGCAAACTAGCAAGTCTAGGCCACTGGTAAGGTAATATGGGTAAGTTTGACTCTATACTGAAGCTGAAAATAGCAAGGCTGGGACAGAGTACCATCCAAAATGGCCCCAAGTACACAGTAATGTAGCCATGTTTTAAGAGATAAAATATATATGTGGCATAGGAAGACAATTATGAGATTTACTGATACTTTCATTTTGCTTAAAATAACCAGATTATGTGAAAGCAGTTGGTTCCAATTTAAATGAGAGCTATTGTGCTGGAGGAAGGAAATTATTCTTTCCCATCCAGTGCAGTTTTTCTAATTTAAACAAAAAATAGATACTCAGTGAAAGGATGCTTCCATTCTTCTTGTAAAAGAAAAGCAAAAGACAAACACAAAATGAAGCAGCTCCTGATTGGAATTTTAATATTTGCTTTTCCTGAATCTTTGGCCTTCAGATGTCTCTGCCTTGAATTGACTGATAGGATTTTCTTTAGCCCTTTCACTGTCTGAATCTCTTGGAATTGCATTTGCCTCCATTTGCTCCAATGTTTATTTGGGTTCTTAATTTAAGAAAGATAGGGAAGTTATTTACAAACAGATTAATGTGTGCTGCTTGCTAATTGAAATAAAAGTGCATCTGAATTCCATCTCCACTAATAATTGTTTAAGAAATTTGTCAAATGTTTTAAAAATACCCAAAGAAAGTATAATTGATACAGATTTAGTAAATTTACATAGTGGATTATATTTAATACTACAGGCAATAAAGACAGGACAGCAGGAATTTGTAGCAGATATTTACGTGTCCTCAGACAAAGCATTGAAAATGAAGATTGTCTCAGATAGATCCATTCATCCCTCATTATTTTCCCTGTCAAACAAAATCAATATTTTACTCCATTCTAACATGGGTACCTTGACTAGGACTTCTGTAGGCTCCGCAGATGTTCTGTTTTGCCTGGAAGTATTTCCTACCATGTCCCTCATGCCTGTTGGAGAGTTTGGAATGTCATTTTTGTCTGAAACCAGGACATTACAACATCTGCAATCAGTCTACTCTCTCTATACCCAAAGGCTTCTCCATGTATCACAGAACCACCAGTCACATTTTGTGAGAAGGGCGGCTATATAAATATGATAGATAAATACATTCCAGTGCTTGTGTATGAATTATGCACTCTCCTACCTATCCAATGGGCTTCCATGTGAAGGTGTAGCATCATACCATATGAGAGCCAGTTTGGTGTAGTAGTGAAGGTGCTGGCCTAGAAAGCAGGAGACTAATCTTGTAGGCATAAAAGCTGGTTGGGTGACTTTGGGCCAATCTCTCACTCTCAGCCCAACCTAACTCAGGGTGGTGGCTGTGAGGAAAATAGGAGGCAGGATTATTAGGTATGTTTGCCACCTTGAGTTATATATAAAAAAGGTGGGATAAAAATATAATAATACTACTGAACTTGCAGCTCCTTTAAATAACTTTCGAATGGTGGTTTTGGAGGCATGCCATTTAGGCTTCTTTATGCGGGTTTACTGTGATATCTTGATCAGGAGGATGCTGCATCACAGGACTTTCCATCACATGTTTTACCTCAATCCTCCATCCCTCTGACCTCTCAAGTTTTGCAACTTGTTCAATATATGTGGACAAATATAGGTAGTCCTCAACTTACAACCACAATTGGGACAGGAACTTGTGTTGCTAAATGGTGCGGTCATCAAGTGAGTTGCACCCAATTCTTTTTTGCCACAGCCATTAAGCAAATCACGGTCATTAAGTGAATCACATGGTCGTTAAGCAAATCCAGCTTCCGCCATTGACTTTGTTTGTTGGAAGCCCCCTGGGAAGATAGCAAATTTTATTTTATTTATTTTTATTTATTAACAACTTTACATGCCACCCATCTCCCCCAGAGGGTGACTCCAAGCAGCTTACAATTAAAAACCAAGACAATAAAAACAAAAATATAAACATCCCCCAATTAAAATCACAAGTAACAATTCTATAAAAGCCAATATACAATTGAAGATGATGGGGGAGCAGTATCAATCATCCCACCAGCCAGTTCCAGAATTGTGAGCCTCATCAGGCCCCCAGGCTATCTGGCATAGCCATGTTTTTACACCTTTTCAGAAGGCCAGGAGAGTGGGGGCAGCCTGCACCTCAGGTGGCAAGCTGTTCCACAGGGAAGGGCCCACAGCAGAAAAGGCCCTCTCCCTAGACCCCCACCAGCCGAAATTCCTTGACTGGTGGGGTCCACAACATGCCCCTTCTGCTGGACCGAGTGGGGTGGGCAGATACAATGGTGAGACAGCTCCTCAGATAATTTGGTCCTGTACTACAGAGGCCTTTGAAGGTGATAACCAACACCTTGAATTGGACCTGGAAGCAAGCCGGCAACCAATGCAGCTTGCATAACAGGGGTGTTAAATGTGCCACCCTAGGGACATTCAAGACTGTCCACGCCACTGCATTTTGCACCAGCTGTAGCTTCCAAATACTCTTCAAGGGTAGCCCCATGTAGAGTGCATTGCAGTATTCCAAACAGGAGGTGACCAGGGCATGAGTGACCACATGGCCTTCTGATCCAGGAAGGTGCATAACTGATGCACATGAAGTTGCATGAATGCCTTCCTAGCCATGACTGTCATCTGCTCTTCGAACAGGAGTTGTGAATCTAGGAGGACCCGAGATTATGCAACCCCACCTAGAACCAAAGATGATAAGCTCCTAGATCTTGAGGCTCCCAGTATCCACAGCCAGTCTTACAGTTGAAGCCTGTTGTTCCCCATCCAGGCCCTTACAACCTCCAGGCACCATGAAAGGGTAGCCACAGCATCACTTAGGTCACCTGGGATGGAGATATATAGGTAATAATGCATGCCAGGTCAGCCTGCTCCTCCCCAATAAGATCATAAATAAGGGGGGCCTTATTGACTGGCCTGGCATTCAGCAGCAGCCAAAAGCCCGGGCCTTTACAGGTCTGCTGACCAGGGTCTGGATTTGAGTGCAGAGAGCTGGAACATGTCACTGGTATCACATCAGGGGTGCCTTCCCCTGAAACGGCCTGCCCTCCAGCTCCTGTCATAACAACCCATGCCTGTCACCACTAGGTCCAAGGTACTCTTCCACGCCCCCCCATCCTGGCCTCTGGCCTAGTGAGCTCAGCATCGCATCAGCCATTCAGAAACTGAATTGGCCACCAAGCAGCCCAAAGGGATTGTTGGGGGGGGGGGGGGGAAAGGCCCCCCATGGCCCTCCAGGAATTGGGTTTCAGCACCAACAGGGGCTTAGTCCCCTCACACTCCCACTACAGCCCTTCTCTCAACTGGCCTCATTCGCTAGTTGGTGAGAAGAGGGGCAACATCCACTCCTATCCCCCCACCTAACACCTGGGAAGAGGTAGCACATTCATACAACCACCCACAGACCCACACCATAACCACACTGGGCCCTACCCTGGGGGTTGCCAGCCCAATCACTTTAGGGGGCTAAAAGCCCAGACCCCCCAGGGGCCAATATCTCTGTGGGCATTCAGGCCTCCAGGCTCTGGCTTCCAGATCAGCTGTCGCAACTGGCCAAGCCTCAGCCCCACCACCAGTGCTCTCACCTCCACTTGGCTCCAGAGTCCCTCTCAACCCAGCTGGTCTTGCCTCCGATAACATCCTTGGCTCAGCTGCAGGTCCAGCTCTCAATGCCACCACCACTGCCACTGTTGTCATCACCCTTGGGACCGAGCATCTTCCTTGGCCCCAAATGGTATGGCCCTGGGCGTCATTCCCAGCCCCAAACGGTGCAGCCTCGGTCCAAATGCTCCTAGCCCAAACAGTGTGGCCTCAGCCTCGGCACCACCTTCAGTGCCCTCCTGCCACTGCCACCACCGTTGTTGTCCCCAGGGCCCAAGAGCCACTCCCACACTTGCCCTTAGTCACTCATGGACTCCCTTAGCTGTTCTTGGCCCAGCTTCCTCTCAGCCATCACTGCAACTCTCCTCACCCTCTTGACAGCCAGCACAGGACGGAGGTGAATCCAGGGGTGCTCTTCACCCACACACCATTCTCCCCATACCCCAGTGTTGTTTATGGCTGGAAGCCTCGTGCTGGGCGTCTGCTCTCTACTGCTATCTTAAAAAGTGATCATGTGACCCTGAGATGCTGCAACCATCATAAATACATACCAGTTGCAAGCATCTGAATTTTGATCATGTGACCGCAAGGATGTGGCGACAGTCATAAGTGTGAGGACTGGTCATAAGTTGCTTTTTTCAGTTTCATAACTTCAAACAGTTGTTAAATGAATGGTTGTAAGTTGAGGACTACCTATACATACATACATTCATTCATTCTCCAAAGGCCAGCCACTTCAAAGAATACACAAATGCTGAAACATTAAAAAAATGGCACACAGGAAAAAATAGGAATGTAAAAGCAATAGGAATTTACATGCAGAAAGAGATGAGTTAACAGTTTGCTGGCAATTTTTCTTATTTGTTGGAAAAACATAAAGAAGGTGGAAGGAAACTTCTAACTTCTTTCTGTGGGAGGGAAATGGAGGGATTCTTGTTAGGTCACAGCTTGAGCAGGCTCAGATGCATGGGGAAGGGGTGGATTTCAGATAGATGAGGGCAAAATATGCTTATCACTTGACCTACCAGTAGGCAGTAAGGACAGACACTGATTGGCCTGCTCAGCAAACTTTGGATGTCAGTGTAGAAAGACAAAAGTAAATATATACTGTAACCATAATATTAGTGCTTTGGATGTCAGCATAAACTGAAAAAACACAGGCATTACATTAATATTATAAAGACTTGGGAAATGGATGGCTAGTTGTCTGCAAAGCCTCAGGTTTTTTTCTCTTTGCTCAACTAAGCTTGAGTTTTTAAAAAGCTTTTCTTTTTTAAAAAGTGTCTGTTATTTTATTATTTATATGTAATTTTTTGATCTTTCTACCAATTCTAACCTAATATTGCACTTGAAATCTTAACTTGACCTTAAAATCTTAACTTGGTGAGTAATTGCACTCATAACTGTATTTCCTGTTTTAGCTGCCTCCTTAATTGCTGTGGGCATATCACTCTACAAACCACAAGCAACTTAGTTCCACAACCTCCCTTCCTATATATATACACCACCCAGAGTTGGTCAAGCTAAATTTTTTTGCTGCTATGAAATCCTATTTAAGTTAAATGCAATTTAGATGCAATTAGTGCTACTATGCTACTATTAAAATAAATGCAATACATAAAACTCTAATGCACTAGATAGCAAACTGAGAAATTAGCTGATACAATTTGATACAGCTGATACAGTTTGGTCACCAGGCTAGAAAGCAGGAGACTGTGAGTTCTAGTCCAGCCTTAGGCATGAAAGCCGGCTGGGTGACTTTGGGCCAGTCACTCTCTCAGCCCAACTCAGTTCACGGGGTGGAAAATAGGAGGAGGAAGGAGTATTAGGTATATTTGCTGCCTTGAGTTATTTATAAAAATAAAGGTGGGATAAAAAATCTAAAAAAAAATTATCAGAGAAAATTGAAAAGTTACAGCTGCAATCTTCAGTATTTGAATTGGTGACTGATTAAAACAAATTATTTAAACTTTGAGTTCATTAACAAATTAAAAAAAACAATTTTAACCAATCATAAATTGTGAGCACACACTGTTTAAACAATACTTTATAAAAGGACTCTATTGTAAAATGTTATGAACAAATAAAATATTAAAAGTAATGCTTTTAGTGAATTAAAACTCCTATTTATTATATAGCAAGTTACACTTTTTCCTCTAGCCTCTCAAAAAAACATCTATTGATCAGTTACAAAGCCTTCTGCAACTATCTACTCCAGAAAACCTATACAGCCTTGAGGATGAAAAAAGGAAGGTTTGCATACAGTGGATATCTGCTATCCTGTTCACTGAAAGAAAGGCCAAATTCTTGTTCAAGGACTCAAATTCCCACCCATAGCAAGACCTGTTGCCAAGCAAAGAAATGGACACAGTGTAAGGTTTGCCCCGTTCGACAGAGAAACTCCCGTGACACGTGTGGTTCACAAAAGAGGTTTACTCATGCGTAACGTAGCGGTCACAAGCAAAGCCAGGACTGGCTTGGTACATTTGCATTACTCGTTTATACTTCTCCCCTTCCCGCGCTTTTCGCCCCGCGATTGCGTTACTGCTGC